TTTTAACATTCATTTAGGTCTGTATAAAGGTATGGCAAAGAAAGGCACCTCCAAAGTTCCTGGGCAAAATCACTAAGAGGTGAATATGGCTTCGACCTGGTCCTTACATTAATGGCGTCATTTGTTTGTCTGCTGGGGGCTACTTGAGCTATTTAAGTCTGTATCCCTCAAATATCCCTTTCCCTGCAGGCCACACCGAAATGCCGAGGCAGATTACTGCGCCCTGAAATCTGGATATCCCAAATGACCATTAGACCAACGCATTACTCTGACCGCATCTTGATTGATGAGCATCACCGGTTCCTTTCTTTAATTTGATGGATACGCATGACTTAAATAGCTGAGGGGATTTACTAGGTGTCAGGTGTTGAACTCTCCAAGTCGCAGCCTCCTCATCCTTCCTGGCTGCTCCCTGTGATGTCAGCAAGTGTGTAGGTGTGTGTGCGCTGCAGGCTAGAAGTAGGATATTGTTGTTGAGCTGTATGGACACTAAACACTATCTGGACAATATTTAAGGGAACTGAATCATTTTTTTCATGTGGACTGACAATCGCATACTATTTTTTTACACCCTTTCTAGTACCAGCATCAACTATGTCTGCTGGGGATTTTAGATTTGAACCAATATCTATTCTTGGATGCGGTGAAATGTACTGAAGTTACAATCTAAATGCAGACTCAAACAAGGATGGATGAACAAGTCAGTTTGGGTTTTCCCTTTTAGGAAATTTACACAGTCACAAAATGAATCCAGTCTCTTGCCAACGTCTAGAGAAATATCTAAATGGTTGAGCGCTAGCCTTCCAAAGTGACACGGCTATAGTTATAGTTATGAGTACAGTACTGTAGCTCTCCTCATTTTAGTTGTGTCACGTGTTGATAAGAGAGACCCCACAAGGCCCCCCACGCCGCCTATTACAACACACACACACACACACACTCACACACACTCAAAGGCGCACGCCCATAACTCTCCTTACCATCTCTTAGGGAGGTGCAAAAATAACTGGAGGTTGGAAATTGGGTTAAGAGGAAAAAAAAATGTGTTGAAGAGTGGTCCATTTTTAAAATCCGTCGGCTGGTATTGAAACGTTGTTGGAAGGGTTTTTAAAGATGCTACGCCCGGCCAGACCCAAACAATCACAGCTAATGTTTCTGTAGAGGTTCCCTGGTGATAATCACTGCGAGTATGTGTATGATGATGTATGATTAAGAAAGTAAAAAAAAAAAAAGGATTCCTTAAGATGTAAAATAATCTAAATTAAGTGTAATTTCAATCCAATCAACCAGTTCGTCCATTGGCTGCTTATGTGTAAAAGACGGCGTCCCCTTTGAAACGAAACGACCATGAAGCTGTGACCTTTGGCACCATAATGGCCTTTCTCGTGAGCAAAGAGGGACGCGCTGTGAAGAGACGCTCGTCACCTCCGAGAGTAAAATAGAGAAAGTAATTCCGTCGACTCAAGCAATCCCATCAGCCACGGGGCCCCGTATAAAGATAAAGACGCCGCCGACGGCTCCACTGGTTTTCCGCCCCGGCGGAGCGGGGCCGGTAAAGCGGCCGGGGGACCGGGTGGCCCAGAAGGGGAGCGGGACAAACGGCTGATGGAGAGAAAGGCGAGCAGAGATGAACATTGACTTGTTTATTTTGTTATTTATTTTTTGCCTAGATCGGCAACGATAACAGCGAGTGATGTTGATAAATGCTCGCGAGGCCAGTTTATCAGCATCTGTCTGGCCCGGGGTCGCCCGCGGCAGCTTCCGAGGCTGATAACCTGCGAGGCCTGAGGCAAGAAGTCTGTAGGGAGGACGAGGGGTGATGACGATGATGAATATGTAGCCGCTGGCCACGGTAACATCTACGATAGGATGGTAACGGTTCCTCTTGCTGATGAGTACCGTCGGGTACCGAAAACGCAACGCAGAGTTTGGTGCCGCTTTTCGGTGGCGGAGCCTATTAAAATCTTTTTTCTGTTTAGGGCTGTCAAAGTTAACGCGTCAATCTATGCGATTGTTGTTGCCGGGTTTAATGCGATGAAATATTTTAACGCTCTTAACGGCACTTTGCTTACTACCCAAACGATACCCATCTCCAATGATGGTTTTCTAGCTCAGCGTGACTGAGATGGTCCGGTCGGTTTTGCACTCCTGAATGTCCCGATACGAGACACCACATCCACAGGGGGCTTATCTCAAATAGATGCCGGGGCTTTTTATTTATTGTTTGATCAATTAAGAGGCAAAGATTCTCAAATGACCAGCAGCGATGTGATGATACATTATCAATGTAGTGTTTGCGTGGCGGGTTTGAGGTGTTATAATCCCTGTTCCTCGCAGCACCGAAAAGACACTTTTTTCTTCTTCATCCCTTTGCCACAAGTCGTGCTTGCAAATCCTCTTCTCTTCAAGTCCGAGGACGTGCGTATGAAAAGACATTTCGGCAGCATGTTAAACCCTAAAGCCGGTTCCTCTCGTCCGAGGAACGCTGCAGCAGCTCCTTGCTCAGAAACTGACGTTTTACCTTTTTTTTTTCTTTTTTAAAGAAAGGACCACTCTGCAAAATTCTTTGTCAGGGCACGTTGGTGCTGTAATATCAGTGGCGCAGAAGCAACGTGTGTGGCATTCGGCGCCCTCTCAGCGTGTGAATTCACCCGATGCTGTGTTTGCATATTTATGTCTGCTCCAGTGCTCGGCGAGATGCGCTGCTCTTGTCAGTTTAGTAAAAGTTTCACACATAAAACCAATTTTTCCTCGGTCATCCCTCCGCTTGCCAGCTCCTGCAGCCCCTGAGTACACGTGGAACTGCTTTCTCTTTCTCTCTCATTTTTAAATTTGAGTCAGAATTGTAGACCTCTGAAATGCATTACGATTCGGCATGCGCAGCCTTTTGTTTTTCTGTGGAAGGTGGTTTAATTGAATTTTGTGATGAAACAATGTAACGTAATAAGAAGAACGTGAAACATTACAGAAGGAAAGTAGAAGGACAAGAAGGCACAGGAGAGGGCCACTGTGTGGGAGGCGGTGTGCATATGCGCAGGCTGTGTGCCGGTGAGAATGCGCACCTGGAAAGCACTTGACAGATGGTTACTTCAGCTCGAGACGAACGTTGCTTCTTCTTCTTTTTCTTATCCACAGTTTTAAGCCTCTTTCACAGAAAGTGTCACGGTCAGCATTTTGATCAAGGTGGACTCTTTTCTCTTTCCTGATAGTTTGCTCTGCATCTCCAGTGTGTGTTCATCCCACAGCTGGCCATTTCCTTCTGTTTGATACCGGAGAGATGAGATGAGCTTTGAATTTCTCAGCTACTCCCTTTCTCTCTCTCTTCTTCTTCTTTTTTGTTTGCCAGTAAGATTACCGAGCAGTGCATACAAAATTGTTACATGGCTGCTCAATACTCAAACTGTAGCATAGGTTTGGAGAGGATGACACATTGGGGAACCACGTCTGTGGAATCAATAGCGTGCACTACTCTGGTCCTCTTAGTTTAGATGCTAACTGCACTATTTCCAAGCTTTTCACAGAGGTCAGCTGAGAGGGGCGGAGGTGAACGCGTCGCTGCAGCCTCTCACTATGAGGTCCAAGCAGGCCAACGCTATAGGCATCACAACCACATGAGAGGGATGGAGACCCAAAGTACTGGAGACTCAGAGCCTCGTGTACTAGCGCTTTTGCGCCCATTTGTTTCGCGATGTGCACGTAAAAGCACGGCGAGGTTTGTACAAACAAGCCGCACTGAGGTTAAAGCGCAGACCCGCCTGTCGCAGGAACTGAAGGAGGCAAATTGAGCTTTCTCGTGTCACGCATATGCCTTTACGGGAGTGTCGAGGGGAAAGTGGGAGTTTCCCATAAAGAGATGGGAGGGGATGCGCAAAGTGCGCCTAATTACATGTTCCGCTGTATGTACAGGAACCGCCTGTGAAAGAGCGCCTCCGCTCTGCGGTGAAAATTCTGCGCCTCTTAAAAGCAGGTGGAAACCAGAATGCGGTTTCCTCACACGTGCCTCCTGGTGAAACAGCAGCAGTAATCCAAGCCAGGCGGCGACATAGGCCAAGGACACGAGCTGGAAGGATTTTATGCAGCAACTTTTTCAGTTTAGGTAACAGGAAATCATTACGCGTTACAGATTAAGCAGCCACGCAATATTAGTGTTACTGGAAAAAATCAAGGATGACAATGCATCTCAGACTCAGCGTTCACATTCCATTCCAGCAGTTGTTAAACTCCTCGCTATGTCACAATTACTGGAATCGGGGTCATTTCAAAGAGTCATAACATCAGCAGTGGGAATATTGCAACATACTAACTTAAATACGGCATAAGCTGAAATATCACAGCGCGCGCTTCCTGCGTGATTGTCGTGGCGCCGATAGCACTACGTTTACATGAGGGCCGCACCGAAGTTGCGTCCATTCAAAGGTCCAATTCGGTGCATGGTTCCAGTTTCATACGATAACCTGTTCACTGTTAGCTGTGTGCAAAAAACAGAAAGAAAAAAAGAGGAGATTTTGTGGCAGATTTAATTGCTGTATTTCCCTGAGAAATCGTCTTTCTAAATTTAGCATGTACTCTCTGCAGCAGCAGATGTTCGTGCCCTTTTTGGTGCCGTGGGTAATAATCCTTAATATTCTTGCTGGTTGAAACTAAATGAGGCTTTAATGCACTCTGATTCCATTTTCCAGCATTCATTAATTGTTTTTATGGGGGGTTTAAAGTCCATCAATTCTTTCAGTTTTTTTCCTTTGTTTAGCAAAGATGAACATCAACTTTTATGGAGGAAGTTGAGGTCTTAAATTGTGCGAAAGTCTTTTATGATAACAGCTCCAATTTAAACTGTCATCTTGACGGGAGCTTTTCCTGCCGATACCTTCAGCATTCGCCACCTCGCTGCGAGTGTATGACTGTTTGACGACAATGTGTCCTCGCTCCTTTTACGTCTCCTCGCCGTCACAGATAATTCTCCGTGTCACTAATCATCTCTTCTCGTCCCTTTTTCTTTCCAGATGGTCACAAGAACAAAGAAAATATTTGTGGGTGGCTTGTCAGCCAATACAGTAGTGGAGGACGTGAAGCAGTATTTTGAACAGTTTGGGAAGGTAAGAGGTTTTTATTTTTATTATTATTATTGTCTCATCACAACACTGCATAGCGTTCACTGCACACTGTTGGTCTGTGTAGCCAAATTAAAGAGCTGTAGCATCATTAAGCGTGAAATATGTTAATTGGATAATTACCCAATCAGTGCACGGTGCCCCCTGTCACTCAGGCAGTGTCATTATGGGTCAGACCACGCGGCCCCGGCTTGCCAATCTTTACGGCGATCAGCGAGGACTTTCTAAAGGCTTTAAGAGAAGCTGGCGGCTCCGTCTCAGGCTCCTTTCCCCCGACAATAAGACAAATAAATCTCTACCGCGGCGAGCGGACGAGCAAAGACACGGCGATGGCTTCACACCGTCCCCGCCGCGCTCGGTCAGCAACGTGCCGTATGCTCGCAGTGCAAACAAGCGATGGCAACCGGCTGCCGTGACAACCCCTCCGCGAAAAAATGGAGATTAAACTAAATAAAAATTGTTGTGGCAAAGCTGTGGTGTGAAAGTAACACTCCACCAGTTAATTCAGCAGATGCTCACATTCAGCCGTCCGATCGTGCTGCAGCAGTTTCTGCTCTCATGACCGATGCCCCCAGCAGAGCGAAGCACACACTCTCTCGCACAAGGACACGCGCACGCACCCACACTCGCACGCACACAAACGCGGTTTGATACAGTGGCAGCATTTCAGAGATAATGTCCCCACGCCGAGCAGAGATCCATTTCCCTCACGTCGTATTCCACATCAGTCAAGGTCACCTTCAGCTGGCGGAGTCGCCGGAACGCCAGCACCTGACCTTGTGCTTAAACAATTTCACCGAGGATGGATTTTTCATGGGCACATAATGTACAACGTCCCGAAGGACACGGGAGCAGTTGCAAATTAATAGAAACTGTTTTTTGTTCATATTGTTGTTGTTTTTTTTGATTTGACACAATATTCAACCAGCTCTCCCACTGTTGAGCCCTCGGTCATATTCTTGACTGGAAACGAGCAAGGTGAAGGACTTTGTTTTTTGCTCTTTATCTGTGCAAGTGGCATGAAGACCTCGCCGCGGCCCAGTCCCGCTGTTCCGAATAAAGACTCCTTATTTGCACAATAGGACTTGGCGGGCAAATATTCAGCACAACTTCGCAATCAATGGATCTGAGAAAGGGCTCGAAATGATTTTCGACTTGATTGAATGACATAATTGACTTGATTATACAAAGTTTTTTTCCTCCTTGAGGAATCCTCAAACGCTTAGGAGGAAACAAACAAATCAGACTGATTGAGCGAGATCTTGTGCATGTTTCCCTGTGTGCTTTTATAGCCTACTTGTGCATCCTTGGATGTGTCTGCAGTACCGCTCTCGCCATGCGTGAGTGTGTCGGCGATTAAGTGTATTTATGTGGGTCCGTGATTAAGGTTGCACAAATGTGTGTGCGTGTATGTGTGTGTGTGTGTGTGCGAGCAGGTTTAAGTGTCTTCAGCAAAAAAGAAAAGGGAATATTGTGAGCTACGATGCAGAGCAAAAGGATGGCTTGTCCTTTTAAACTGTTTTGTGTATTATCATTCCTTTCTGCACTTACACATCCCAGGATTTATTAAATAACCTGCCTGTCACTGCAACCTACCATTATCGCCATGCACACGTACACACACACACACACACACACACACACACACACACACACCTCTGAGGACTTAGCCAAAGATGGAAAAACCAATTAATTCAGTTTCTCCTCTGTAAGAATCTTGGTGGCAGTATGTGTGTCAGTCTGTCAGTCGTCAGTCGGCCTTTCTGCTCGTCTCTCTGCCTGTGTGCTTGTCAGGAGGAGGGGGGGGGCATTAGCCGGCGTGGTTGCGGGGCAGCTAGTTATTTATATTTCTGTACGTTTTGAAGTACTTATCAATCATCATGCAACTACAGCTTAAGGCGCCGGCAAATGTTCCTCCTCACTGGGAACAAGCCACTTCGCTCATGTTATTTTGCAAAGCACTGCTTTTGAGTGTGTGCGTGTGTGTGTGTGCGCGCGCGCGCGGGTGGGCTATGCTAGGCAGCATTGGCCAATTAGCAGGATGTGGTCCACAGAGGTGGCGGTGGTTGTGAGGCGGTGGAGGGGAAACAGCTGGTGTGGCCACAATTGGGTCACAGGTTCTGTCTGTAACCTCCGCACCTGCCCCACCCCCTCCACCCCTCCACACTCTCTCGCAGCCCCCACCTCAGTCACTCCCTTCTGTCTCCATTCTGTCACGGGGAGGGGGAAGTAGCATTTGTTATGGGGAGAGGCTGACAGCTCTCATGCACATCAGTTCTGCTGCCACTCTCCCAGCCGTCACTATTAGAGAAGAGCACGTGCCCGAGACCTGGCACAACTTCAGAGGAGCTCCTGCACCGCTTTTCTTTCTCCTCTTTCCTTCTTTGTCGCCCACAGAACATGCTGAAGGTCTGTGTGCATTCGGAGTGTTTGTGACAGTCATGTGAACGAAACTGAAGTGTGGTTCTGTTTGACTGATTCTAATGCATCTCAGATGGATCCCATTACCTGCCTAATAGTAGCCACATCCTGCCTTGCCTCCCCCCTTCCCTTCTCCTCTCAGGCAGCCCGCTGCACCCCAGCCCTGTGGGCCAAATGAGACAATCTTATCAGCACCGCCTGGCCTCCCCTTATATTCAAGGACTCTTAACTGGAGGCTGATGCTATTTTGGTCTTGCAATAGTGTCAAATTAATCTGTGTGCTGTTTGAGCGGTAATGTGCCGTTGTGCAAACGTATAGATTGTTAGGGAAGACAACGTATGCCCTTTTATGTCCGCTATGCAGGCCTCGCAAGTTGCCATTTTGTTGCTATATTCATTGGAAAATGTTATGTTTTACAGTATCATTTGGCAGTGTATTTTCTTGTAGCACTGGACAAAAAAAGTCAGAGGTTTGAATTTTCCGAGTTACCGTTTCCAACATTGCTAACTGCTAACGTGAACAAGAAACATGTCCCCCTGTGAAATACTGATGCTCCCTTTCAGCAGTGAAGCCCCCAATTTCAATTGAATAACTTTTATAGGCTTTTTAATTAACATTGGCACATATATTAAATACATACATGCAATCATAATTGTTGCGTGTCGTGAGATAACTGCTTCTTCGTGAGGTCGGGGAAAGACCTATTTGCTATAATTCTACAGGAGTTCCCAAGTGGTCTTGAACGCAGCATTGAAGTCATTGCACGCAGCGCTCACTCTCCGCTCGAGTGTGCGCAGGTGTGTGTGTGTGTGTGTGTGTGTGCGTAAATGTGTAAAAAAATTTTTTAGGGGAAACACTGGATAGCATGTATGTCCTATTTTTATTTATATTTTTGGGAAAGAGTTTGATTTATTGTTTGCTGTTTTTGTGTAGTGATCAATGACGTTATTTTATGAAGACTTTTCCCTCCCACACCACTGAGGCAAGCAAGCTGTTGTAAGGATACCTTATGCATTAGATCTAACATAGCAGCAACTCCCTGGCCAGGCATGAAAAGACAGTTTAGGGCAAAATTAGCATGAGTGGCTAATCCTCCCTCATTGGTTTATTGTAATCAGCTTGTGAGTGCATCTCATGGTCTCCTTATTGGCCTAAACTGAAGTAACTCCTGCTCAGTGACTCCGAGTCTCCACTCCTGTCCAGTGGCTGGGCTCTGCAGTGCAAGCCTGAAGCGGCCTTTTAGTTTAATCAGAGCTACTTGCTTCCATGTCACTGCGCTGCCACAATCGTCCCTTTATGTGCAGGCTGTCCTGGTTCTCATGCTCCACTGGTCCAGAGCCAGATCCTGAAGGTGGAGCTGAATGGGAGGAGGAGCTTAACCAGTTCACTGCCACTGGTCTCATGAGGGATAAAGGTAAACAAAGGTCACTACTTAGACAAGCATAGCTAAGCCCTGAGTCCTACGGTCCACAGGTCATCTCATCCCTACTTTGAAACGATAGTCTCAAAGTAGGGATGAGATGGCCTGTCAGAGGTCATAGCAATGTCAGCCATAGGCAGGAGAGAGTCGATGGACAGATATCGCTGTCAGTCCGGAAGAGAAGATGCTGGGCAGCCTGTTAACGTCCGTCGTGTCCACCTGTGGCCAGCCAAACCTCTGCATACTGTTCCCATACCATCACTGAGAGGAAGCAGATGAGAGGACATAATAAAAGCTCGAGGAAAAAAGATTCCTTGGTTAGTGCATGAAATTCGTTCTGGGGCTTTGGTTATCTAATACCATGGCTGACATTTTGCTTGCCCTTAGAATTTCGTAATAGGCAGAAAAATAACTGTCACCGTCTTTAAAGACTGTATGAATTCATTTGGAATACCTTCCAAAGTCCTCAGGCCCTTAACAGCACTGAGGTATATTTAGATATTCCCTGCAAAACCCAACAAAACCAACCACAAAAAAAACTTAATCACGTTTATGTGATACCGTTTTTGGAGGATAACACAGCGTGACAGGTAGGTGATTCTACCTCTCCTGTTGTCTCATTCCAATGTTGTAAAGGTCTCTTTGGAAACTTGGACCTGAGGTACTTTCAGAATCCGCCTTGGCCAAGTGCATCCAAACCACTGTGCAGATTTGACAGAGCTGCAATAATCATTGATGTGACACTTCTGGCCTTATGTGTTATTTTAAATGATTGCCTTGGATGACGATGAAATTTGCACGTCGACGCGTTGAAGGTGCTGCAAGTCGCCCATTGAATGCACATCGGACTCGAAGCTCCGAGCAGCTCTGATCATTGTCTGAAATAGCAAACAAGGATGATTAATGCAGAAAAAAAGAAAAGGAGTACACTTTATATGAGTGAAAAGAACCTAATCAAATAGGCCACAGTCCCTCATTCCCCTCCCTCAGCTTGTGCAGGTGCACATTTGCATGCCATTTACATGGCCGCTCGCAGTGACCACTACCACTCCGACAATTCGGTGTCCATCATTCGCTGACATTCGGTGATTGTTTCCTCTCTGGCGCGACTCGCCCCAATCAGTTGAGGATATAGTCTGGTTC